AAAAAGCATGTCAAGAATACCTTGAATATTTACAAATCTAACCAAAAGATTATTAAATTTAAAACAAATTATAAAATTCATAATTTATAAAATTCACATCTCGATTAGAAAATACGGCTAATGGTAAGGTCGAATATCTGAATAAGTTCTATATACAAATTAATCTAACCCAATAAATTTTAAATAAATTCTTTTAGAAATTTTAATTGATGAAGATAATCCTTCTAGAGCTCATTGTAAAAATTCACTATCGGATTAATTTTAAAAAATTGGAATAGCTATAGGTGAAAGTTAGAATTAAATCAATTAATAATTGTAATAAATTATGCCACTTAATTTAAGGCTCTAATATATCAATATAACCAGTCCCTTCTTAATAAACTTAAATTGTAAATAATGTAAATAATTATTTTGAAAAAGAAGAAACACCTATTAATCCTTGGAATATTGTAATAAGAGATATTTTTAATGAAATTAATAGAATAAGGACTAATCCTTAATCTTTTATAAACTTTTTTGAAAATTTAATCCCCTTTTTTCAATCTAAAACATTAAGAAGATATGGATATGAGCCTTTGTATACGCATGAAGGCACATAAGGTATTAATGATGCAATATTTTTTTTATAAAATTAAAAACCTTTACACAAACTAAATTGGGACAAAACTATAGGGAATATCTGTGCTGAATATTCAAAAGAACTGAGTAAACATGGAAAATGTTCATCTTAAATAGAAGAATTTAAAACTTTTGTAGAATAAAAAAAAGGAAATTTAGAATAAATTTAACATAGTACAGAATTTGGAGCGCTTTCAGCATAAGATTTTTTATTTTTATTAATACTTTCAGATGGAGATATAAATAAATAAAATAGAAAATTACTTTTTTCAAATGATTATACATAAATAGGTATTGGTTGTGCTCCACATTATGTAAAGAGCACAGTTTTTGTGATCTCGTATGCATAGAATATAACAAATAATAATTAAACATAATAATAATAATAATAATAATAATAATAATAATAATAATAATAATAATAATAATAATTATAAAACAAAAATTAATCTTAAATGTAATACTAATTATTATAAAATCATAATAATAAATTTAATAATATTTCTTTAGATTAAACATAAAATTTATTACATAATAGAGATGATATTAATAATATCAATGATTCTTAAAAATTTGAAGCCAAAAATTAATTATTTAATATATCACCAAATAAGTAAATAAAAAGATAAACTACTACTTATATTTTAGATGGCTAAAATCTATAAGTTATTGAAGAACCTAATTAGTCATAAAAAATAGAGTAATAACTTAAAAAATATAATATTACAGATAATAAACCTATTACTGGTATTGGTTAAATTAAAGCTATGTAAAATCAAGATCCTGATAGACCGCCTAATACAGTTAAAACAAGTACTGAGAAAAAAATTAATATTATTAATGGAATAAGAACAGTTATTGAAAAAAAAATATATACTTTAAGCGATGGGACACAAAAAGTTATGGAGAAAACATATAATGAAAATTGATTTCTTTAGATATAGAAGGATATATATACTATTTAAAATACATATTTATAAAATTTGAATTCTCAAAATAAATTTATAATTATTAAATTGATTTTTATTAAAAATAAAATATCAATAGGTTTTTTCATATATTTATTTAACAATAACAATGACATTCATTTACAGGACAAGTACTAAACTCTTAAAACCATTCTTATATATGTCTAAAATGTCCGCCATGATTACAAGACATACACCAACATATAGCTTCATCTAAATTTATTTATTCATTTGTTTATTTTCTTATACTAATATTATTATTATAGACATTCTCTCCTAAAGGTAACAAGCAAATACAACAATATTCTTAAATAACTTAAACCTATTTATTTTTCAAAAAAATTATTTTAAAATAATTGTAATAAAAAAATTACTTTATTTAATTATAATTTAATTCCTTTTTTAATAAATTAATTAGTTAAACATTCGGTAAGTTTTTGTCCACCTTTATCAAATAATTACTTTTAATCATTTTAAGATTATTTTATATTGAGAAGGTCATTTTTTTATTTTTCAAATTGGGTTCTTTTATCAAAAAGAAGACTTTTATTTAAAACATATTTATATTAATTAATCCATCTTTCATATATATGAATTTATTTATATTTTAATTTAATTAAATAGACGGAAATAAGAGCAATAGTTTAAATATCACCAGTAATATTTAAATAAGCTTGCAAAATATTAATTGCCTTTTCTTCATCATCAACAAGTGCTAAACATTCTAAATTTCCATTATTTTCGGCATTTTTTATACTTTCATTAATAAAGTTTTTTAAATTATGAATATCTAAAAAGCATAACGCTAGTCCCATTTTATCAAAAAATTCGATTTCGGGAATTTAAAGGATATCCTTCATTCCTTAAGTTTGAATTTCGCTTAAAAGGAATATTTTGATTGCTTTTAAATAAGGATGTGTGAATTCGCAAACATTTAACATTTAGGAAATTAAATTTTGTAAATCTAATTCTATTTTTTCTTTAATTTTTTTACTTGAAATTTTTTTCATTTTTTCTATAAATTCTTATTTTTATTCGTTCGATTTTAAATCAGTAGAATAAGGATTACATTCAGCTGCTATTAAAATATCCTCTTTGCTTTCAAAAATCTATTTTTGGGATGGATAAGTTTCTTCTATTTTTTAAATATAATATATATTTTAGAATAAAGTCAATATTTTCATCATAAAAAGGGCTTTTTGCTTATCCTCCTTATCCTCAACTTTTTATAAATGTTCATTTGCCAAATCAAAATCAAAATGGAAAACTGCTATTGCAGCTGCATGAAAAACTTAATCAGAATTTACTAAAGTGTATAAACCTTAATAATACTCTCTTGGTAATTGTATTTGTTTTTGTAAATTTTCTATTTCTACTATCTATATAGGTGTCCATTTTATTATTTTTAAACATGTATTTCTTTCTTCACTTTAATATACTTTATATTTATTAAATATTGTATCTTCTTTTGCATTGTCCTTGCTTATTATTTCCTATATACTCTTCTCTTCGCTTAATGGTTGACATCTATAATGAATCCAAGACCATGTATTAGAACTTATATGTTAAGCACTTTCATGTTGAAATCTTAGTACTGAATTTGTATTAGGATTAAGGAAATAAGTTAAGTCATTTTAATATCTTTTTTTTTATAATTTTTTTTTATTATTTTTTTTAACTTTTATTTATTTAATTCAAAATCTTTATTTTAAACCATATCATACACATTCCTTTTTTATTTTTTAAGGTAATTTTAATATATTATATCTATTTTACTTTTTGTTTTCATATTCTTTATTTTAGTTTAACCCACATAATGACCTATTATTTTTTATTTTTTAACTTCTTGAGATTTTTTTTACTTTATTCTATTTATATCATTTTCTTTATCAGAAATTTCATATATTTTTATCCCTTTTTTATTGTTTGGTTTAAAAATTAACTTTCCACCAACAAATAATATTTTTTATCTAAGTTTTGGCACCCATTTTTACGATTATTAAATCTCTTCAAAATTCATACAATTATTCAATTATTAAAAATTAAATTAAATATAATTTAATTATTTTTTTAAATAAAAGATTTATTAAATATATTTTAATTTATTATAATAATTTCCTTCTACTACTAATAAATAAAAATATTAATAAAAAATGATTTCAAAGTGTTTAAAAAATAAATATTTATACTCTCAAGTATCTAATATATATATTAAAAATGCATATAGTAAGTAAACAATTTTTTTTAAATAAAACTAATTTTTATTTTTTAAAACGAAGCTGATTAAGATATTTCAAATATAGCAAATTTATTAAAACCTAAATATAATTCCTTACCATAAAATTATTACAATTTTTCTTTCGAAAACATTACATATATGTATGCAGATTGTATGTAGTTTTTATTAAATGATTAGAATATATCCATGGGATTATCAATATCTATAATTACATTTTTAATAAAATTAGTATTTACTCCTTTAATGATTAAATCATAAATAGAAACTCAAAAATTACGTTTATTAGAGCCTGAAATAATTTAAATAGAGAATTAAGGAAAAAAATTTCTGTAAAAATAAGATATTTAAGCATATTTTTAAACAAAGGAGTAGCTTTAATCTTTAAAGGAAACCCATAATATAATGAATTATAAGTCATTTTGTAATTATCTATAGTATCCAGTACTTATTTCTTGGGCTTACTATCTAAAAAATATATGTGATGATAGAAATAGTTGTTTCTTTTATTAAATGTAATATGAAGGTATTTTATAGTTCTAAAATTTAACATAATTTGATCCTTTTTGTTTCCTTCCTATATTTAGTACAATTATTTCATTCTATAATATTAAAAATAATAATAATTATTAGCACTTAGGGAAATACTTTCCTTTGATTAGTCTCCCTCTTACTATTTTTTTACCTTCTGGAGTTACTTTTGTGTGGTTTTTATCTTCCTTTTGGTAATTTGTTATTATTATTTTACTTAATAGTGAAAGGGGGAAAAAATATTTTAATATTCCAACATTTTTAGAAGGAAGTTTCTTGGAAAATGTTAAATAATATAAAAACTAAAAGAAATTTTAAATTGAATGATTTTTTTATTTTATTCATATTTTTTAAACCAATTTAAATTTAATAAACAAGTTTATTGATAAAATTAATCTTTTATTTTTAAAAATAAATTATAAATTAAATAAATTTTGAAAAATAATTAATTAATGTAAAATTAAATATTTTTATTTATTAAAACAATAAACTATATAACTATATAAGAAATAAGTTTTTAGATTAGAAAAATTTACATATAAATTGTTTAATATTTAAAAAAAATAAATAAAAAAAAATTATTTAATTAAAAAAACTTTGTATAAACTTTTATAATTATAAAAACTAATAAAAAATATAATTTTTTTTCATTTTATTTCACTACCATAAAGTAATTTGTTTGCTCTTTACATAATAGAATCCTGATTTTAAAATTAAAAAGTAACAATTAAAATTTTACTAAATATAGTTTTTTATTACCTTTTTAGGCTCATAAACCTTATCTTTACTTGGAATTTCTAGAATTGTGGGAATAATTTCTTCATAATTAGAAATAATATGTCTAAGATATTTTTCTGCAATCTAATAAATTATAGTATTAAGATTATAATAAATAAAAATAAAGTTTGCTTACATGTTAATTAACAAGGATAACTGCAATACTAGGATTTCTCAAAAATGCATTAAAAGTATCTTCTATTAGTTTTTCTTTTGTATCTATTCAATAAAAATAATATGCAATTTTATTTTAATTATTTCTTTACCTGGCTCGACAATTAAAAAGTTGGATTCTCCCTTTATGTTTCTTTCACCTATTCCAGTTAAAAGAAAACCAGTTACAGTGTCCTTTTTATATTTTATAATTAAAAAAATAATAAATATTAAATTTATTTTATTAAAATTTAAATAATATTCTTGTTTTTATATTTGCTTAATTATATTAATTATATTTTTTCAAATATTTGTTTATTACTGTGTCTCCAATAACTGCGATGAGCTTATTTCCTGAACCTGAAAGCTTTTTGGACATTTTATTATTTGAGAAAATAAATTTAAAATATTTTTTTTTAATGATTTATTAAATAAAATTTTTATATTTATAAAAAAAAATATATAAGTGTATTTTTATTTTATTTTTATATATTTTTCATTAATATATATAAATATTTTTAATCATTTTTTATTTATTATAATAAATAATTTTTTCTCTGTTTTTGTTAAAATATATTTTTTGTTAAAAATAAATTATTAAATTATTATATTAAATATATATATATATATTTCATAAATATATTTAAAAAATAATTATTATTTATTTTTTTAACAATTATAATAATTTGATAATACTAAAAATATAAATATCAAACATTAAATAAATGATACATAAAATAAAAAAAGTTCATCCTTTAATATTATTATAATTAATATAAAGGATTCTAGGAATCAAAGAGGCGAAAATACCCCATTATTAATTGATAATAGAATCATTAACATTTCTTCTAGCCCAATCTTCAGTTAAATAAAGAGTAATAATGAGTGAAGTACCATTATACATTAATAACCAGAAAGCAATATTGAAATTTTTAGACGTTACTTTTTTTTAATTTTAAATAAGAATTATACCTGGTCCTCCAAAAACAAGTAAAAGAATAGGGAAGAAGTATCCAATAGCAAAAGAAAGAATTAATTCATGAATAATGGCAGAAGTAAAGAAAGTAATAAACATTCCAACTCCTCTTCCATATTTACCTTTAGAGAATCTAACAGTATCACCATAAGCATAATAAAATAAGAACTCATGTACTACAATATTCCATTTTCTATAATAAGTACCAAATTCTTCAGAATTCCACCAATCCATATAAAATGTACGATCGGGGAATCTCAAAAGTTCAGCCCAAGCATTAAACCAAGAGTGAAGAAGTCCAAAGAAAAGCAAGAAAATAGAAAATGTAGAAGGCATAATAAGTTTAAATTGACAAATAATAAAAGATGAGTAACTAAAGTTTGTTGTCATTTATATGATTTAATCCTTACAGAAAGTTTTAAACAATATAAAGCCGAAATAGATACATAAAAAGAAATTCAAAAAATGAAAAAATGCATTCCTTAAGCATCTTTTAGGTGAGTAAATATATTGATCTCTATATATTAATGTTGGTGCAGCGAAAAAATAAGCAAATCTTTTTACTTCTCCGAATAAATCTAACATATTGTATTTTGGTTAGTACAAATCTTTCAATGTCATACCTCTTTTTTAAAACTCTTCAGGAATAAAATCTCTATATTAGTTATCAGTGATACAATAAAGTAATTTATTTCTAATATAAGAATGCATTTTTAAACCTATTCTCACCATTTCAATTTATATTGTTAAAGCACTTGCCATTCCCAAATTATATTTTACACACGTATTGCATCCAATAAATGTACAAAGAGTGATTATTAAAATATAGATAGGTATCCATATATATTTACTAATCTTATATTCAATAATCCACTTTTTTTTATTTAAAGATAAATTAAAATTTAAAAAAGCAATTAAATTTAAAAAAAAAATATATTAAAATAAAAAATTATACTTTTGTAAAAGGAATAATACAAAAAGATAAAGCTGTAAGTTCAAACCAAGGTAAAATTATATCTTTGAATCCAGAAAAACACCAATATAAAGTTTCTACATCTAAAAGTTATCCTTTTTCAAAATAATCAACAAAAATCAAATTAAGAGCAAGAGCAGTCATTGAAGCTATAGTAATATTATACAAGGTTCTATAATCTGATATTTTTAGTAATTTGCTCAAAAGACTTTCGTTAATTTTAAATTATTTTTCTATGAAAAAATACTTTTATTATTTTGGAGTTTCTAAAAAGTCTTAATGCACTTAGTTTTAATCTTTAAGTTATTGTACAGTATCATTTATCATTACATTATACTTATCTGATATCTACTATATTTCTTAATCCATATTTCTATGATAGTTTAAAAGAATATCTTCTACTTTACTTACTAAAGAAACTGTATATTTATCATAAGATTCTTAATTGTACTTTTAAGAGCGGTCAGGGCTAGACATATTTGATAGAAATTTTTAATTATCTCTTGTTTCTAATGGAGAGTTTCTTTAATTCTGCATTTTTTCGATTTTAGTAGGACTTTCTTCAATATTATTTTAATAAGAATCATTTTCTTATTGTTAGTTTTTTTTTTTTTGCTTAGTTTTGCCCATTTATTTTTTAAATTTTATTAATATTATTTATATATTTTAAAAATATAATTTATTTTATATATACAATTTAATAAAATTTTATTGATTATTTTTTGTATTTTTTATTTTGTCTTTTGTCTTTTGTCTTTTTTTTTTTTTTTTTTTTTTTTTTATTTTGTCTTTTTTATTTTTTAAAATAAATTGAAAGTTACAATAATATTTTTTAAAATTATTTATTTATAAAAATTTAATCTGATTTAATCACATAATGAGTAATAATTTTTTTACTTTCTTTATAAATATATTTTTTAATGATAAAATAATTAAAAAATATTTTAATATCAAATTAAATTTTTATTATATACATAAATTAATTAATTAAAACAATTGGTGAAACATAAAAATATTAAATCCCTTGTAGTTTTTTTAAATAACTAAATCAATAAAAAAATATTTATTTTTTTCTCTCACTTTTTTATTATTGATTGAATTTTAAAAAAAAATAAATAATATAAACAATAAGAATAATAAATATAAAAAAAAAAATTGTTTTTCTTCATTCTTTATTTTTTGGAATAAATAAAGAAAATATTAAAATATTAATTTAAGAAATTAAAAATAAATTTAAATATAAAATTATATTAGTTTGTAATAAAACAATATAAATTATTTTATTTTACAAATTATTGAAATAATTATAAATAATATTAACTTTTCTAAATAACCAAATTTAATAATTTATTATTAAATATATAAAAAAAAATTCTTAATATTTGAGTAGATTTATATAAAAAATTATTATTATTTCTAAAATAATATATAAAAGAAAGTTAAAAATAATTATATCATCAATTTTTTATGATTATTGTTTTAAATAAATTATTTTATAAATAAAAATAAAAATTTTTAGTTAAATCTAAAATTATTTATTATTATTGTTATTTAAAAGTTTATAAATATTTGAAAGCTAAATTTTAAAATTTGATTGAATAAAAAAACATAAATAAAATTAAATTCTAACAAAATCTTAAATATTGTTGATTTTAAAAATTAAATTTAATTTAAATTAAATTATTTGATATGTTGTATTTTTTTATTATTTATTCTTAAAAGTTATTCTATATAAAACAATTTATTGAAACTTTTTAAAAATAAAAAATATATTTGTAATTAATAAAATTAAGTAAAATAAAAATAAATTAAATTAAGATATAATTAAAATTTTAATTTCCATTTCTGTATATTGCTTAATAATATAATTATTGGTTGTATTTTTATCTTGATAAATTTTTAAAATAATTTTTATTAATATATCTGTTAATTATTATATAAAAATAAATTGAAATTGTATAAATTTCTATTTATTTAGTTTTTATTTAAAATATTGATATAAAAAAAAAAAAAAAATTTAACTGAAAAATTATATAATCATATAAATACATATTATTAACTATAAACTAAAAATAAAAAATTAAAAAAAAAATGTCTGTTTAATAAAATTAAGAATAAAAAGAAAATTTATTATATGAAAATTAAATTTTAAATGAACTTCGAGAAAATAATAATATATAAATTAAAAGCGATTTATCAAAAAAAAAATATTAGATAATTCCTTATGAAATAAGAGAAAAATTCATTCAAAAAGTTATGTCTAAATAAGTTACTATAAAAGAAGCTGCTTAAGAATTCGGTTTAAAGTTTTCTACTTCTAAAGCAATTTTACAAACTTTTAGAAAAGAAGGAAGAATAGGAAAGAAACAGAAAAGATAAAGAAAAATTTAAAGTTTTAAATAAACTTTTGGTTAAAAAAAAATAACTGTTAATAATTATAATTTAAATAAAAAAGTATTATATAAAAAAAAATATCGTAATTTAAAATAATGAAAATATAAAAATCAGCTAAAATAACGAAGAAGATTTACTATATAAAACCTTACTTTATTAAATATTTTTATAAGGACAATAATAAGAAAATTTATTGAATTAAAAATAATTTTTACAATTAATAAATCCTTTAGACTTTATAGATTAATTTTATTAATAAAATAATATATTGAATGATAAAAAAAACCAATGAATTTAATAATTTTTAAAAGAATGTATTTTAAAAAAAAATATTTTTATATTAATTTACAAAAAAAGTGAATTATAAAATAAATATATATTATATAATTATTAGTTAATATTTTATTTTCTTTATTTTTT